CTTTAATGTATACTAGGGATCCGCCCCTTCGCACAGTTGAGTTCTGGATATCGAAAACAGCTCCACCTACTGGGTCCAATTGTGAATTATAACCATTCTCTAATCAACCTTATCAAACACACCTGGATGATTGACGGTCCACCACTGTGCGATTTAGAAGATGTTTTCTTCCTCGCACAACTTCCTTGTGGAATAGTTTACCACCAGCGATTTTTCCGGTCCGATACGACTTAGGGACCTTCAAGAAAAGAGCCTACTCCTTTTTAAAAGGCTGGCAACGCATCTGCAATTCCTCTGGTGTTGCATTTGTTCATGGGCGGCGGTAGTCATTTACCATCATTTTAACCGTATGCTCGTTTGCCCCCTCTCCTATAAAAAAAATTATCAAAATCGATCCAGCCGTTTAGGAGGAGTTCAGTCCCATACACACGGACAGAAGAACTACATCATATATTATAATATGCATGTATTCCTCTTGAATCATTCTGTCAATAGACAGATCACTAAAATAAAACTATCAAAATCCGTTGCATACTTTAAAAGATCTTAGCTTACAGACGGCGGAAAGCGACGTTGTTCTATACCATGTAGAGATATGCGTAATATTAGTGAGATCGGTTTTCATTAGAATAATGGTGACAAACGAGCACACAGTCCACCTGATTGTAGGTAGATGCTGCCCATAGACATCTGCATTTATCTTCGATTAAGAATCAAAATGCAGATGCGTTGACACCCCTGAGAACTAAGTTGGAATGCCTCGTTTCCAATAAAAAGATCTCTACAGTCACCATACGAAACACAGCAGCGTTAATCGTATTCTTAAGTATATTCTATGAGAGCCTGGCCCTACCCTAGTGGAGCTGACCGCTAGCTAGCTCTGCAAAAACACATAGTTAAATATATTTGAAATAATAACAGCTATTTTAACAGATTTGATAGACCGTGAACTTTTATCTTCTTCGTTTAAACGTTACCTCCATACTAGAATTTTGTCCTGAATCGCCGAGGCAGTTTACATACATAAATTTCACAAGAACAAACATCCAGACTCGGAACGATTATTTGTTGACCATACTATTACTTATTCCGTGTGGGCTTCGAACCCTTAACTCATTGCTAAGCCACTCATATTTCGGAAATTTGGAGCAATTAGTCCAGCTTATATCGTATCATTTATCATCATCATTACAGTCCTTAACAATTACACTACTAAACGTAGCCCTCCCCCAAGGAACTATATTTATATTGTATATTATGATGGTATTTAAGTCCAGTTTCCATTTCAGAAACGTAGACCAATTAAATCTGCCAATACATTCGAACATTAAATACAATCGGTATCATGGAATGGCAAGAACGCGGCCCGGGAATCGAAGGCTGGTTGGAACGGTGTGGATTACAATACAGTATTTTTATAGTTAGTGAGTCAACGCCACTGGAATAGCGCGCGGCGTTACAACAGCGCGGGCGGGTGACGTCGGTAACTGTACGATGACAAATTAATTATGGACTTGCATACATCGAATCTTGCTGCAGTAGCAATGGATCGAAGTTTCTTAAATGAATAGAATCAGACGATTCTTTACGAAAATCCATTATATATTTACGTGGTAGAGCCATGCTGCAGCTATATTAGTAGTATAGTTGTAGCACGAATGGGTCGGCTCGACCGGGAAAGAACCACGCTCTCACAGAATACCAGCGTAAAATAGCAGCTTAACGCTGCTGTGTTTTGTATGGTGAGTGTAGAGAACCGGAGACCATTTTTACTGGAAACGAGGCATTACATCTTAGTCCTCACGGGCGACAACGCATCTGCATTTTGATTTGTAATCGAGGTTAGATGTAGATGTCTATGGGCCGCAGCAACCACTTACCATCAGACGGACTGTGTGCTCGTTTGTCACCCTTATCATGTAAAAAAAAGATTAAAGATTGGAAAAATTTATAATCTAAAATCCCGCCCTCGCGACCGCCTTAGCGCATCTTAACTAATAAATTTTTAACATCTTTAAGAAGAAAGCTTCTCTAGTGGCAGGCTCATACTGAAAAGCACACCGGGAGATTCTACTAGATGGACCCAACCTAATGAAACATGCAGAGTCGATGAATGCAAGTACCAGAGCTACCGTGCTTTTATGGCAATCTATGGGGAAGAGGCCTATGTACTTCTTCTGGCTTATGATTTTTCTTCTTACAATCTTCTTCTTCTTGCAGTATTCAGCAATAGGCTGTAAAGATGATAATAATACTTCGGACGCCTTAATAACATCATGGCTAATGAAAAAAAAATAAGACCAAATTCTCTGAACGGTAACAGACATGGTAGTGGCTCTACGCTCATAAAATTCGCAAATATATAAATATATAATAAACAGTGCCAGCTCCTTCCGACCGCATCCAGCGCAGTGCGGCTCGAATCGTCGACGACCGAGCCCTTTCCGATCGGCTCGATTCATTGACACTGCGATGAGATGTTGCATCCCTTTGCATTTTCTTTCGCATCTACCACGGGGAGTGCTCTGAGGAATTTTTCGGATTAATCCCAGCCGCCAAATTTCATGAACGCACATCGCGGCAGAACTCTCGATACCATCCACACCATCTGGATGATTGGCGGTCCACCACTGTGCGATTTAGAAGATGTTTTCTTACTCGCACGACCTCCTTGTGGAATCGATTACCATCAGCGATTTTTCCGGACCGATACGACTTAGGGATCATCAAGAAAAGAGCCTACTCCTTTTTAAAATGCCGGCAACGCATCTGCAATTCCGCTGGTGTTGAGGTTGTTTATGGGCGGCGGTAGTCACTTACCATTAGGTGAGCCGCATGCTCGTTTGCCCCCTCTCCTATAAAAAAAAAACTTTTGCGCTTAGTATGGTTTTTTTTAAAGAGTAAGGGTGACAAAAAAAACACACAGTCCACCCAATGGTAAAAATAAATGGTCCAGCCATTTCGGAGATTAAGCGGAACAAACAGGCAGACAGACAGACAAACAGGCAACATTTTAAAATTGTTTTTTGTTTTAATTATCGTATATACCTTCATATTCATGTAGTAATAAGCTTTTATTTTGGCATTACAAACAGACACTTCAATTTTATTTATTTGTTTATGTATAGATTTCAGTATCAGTGTTTGAAATGGAGAGGACTCTACGTCTAGTGTATTCCATAGTTTTTCTTTGAATCTCTCTTGACCCGAAGCTTTAATAGGCCCCTATATGTCTAAACTGGCATGCAAACTTAGTTACAGCTCTGGAGCATACACAAATGTTGTATGAGATTTTAGTTATTTAGGCGAGGATCGAAACCTTGCGCTTAGTCAATGCGCTACCGAACTGTCAATTTTAAAACATATAAGTTTATGACAAATCAAATAGCAATATGTATATGGTTTTTTTTCGACATAGGCCAACGGATTAGTAAGCTGAAGTGGCCATGGGCCGGCCATATAGATCAAAGAACCGACAACCGATGGGCAAGAAAGGAGTGGCGGTCTCGTACCGGTAGGCGAATTGTACGGCGGCCTCCTACTACATAGAGTGACGACCTGGTAAGACATGCAGGAAGTCGATGGATGCAGGTGGCTCAGGACCGTGCTTTGTGGCATTCCTTGGGGGAGGCCTATGTTCAGCAGTGAGCTTGTGAAGGGCTATAATGATAATCTATACAAATAAATAAAATTGAAATGTCTTTTTGTAATGTCAAAATAAGAGCTTTTTACTAAATGCATATGAAAGTAAATACGGTAGGTACTCATAACAAAAATTTTTTTCGTAATTTTTAAAATTTTTGTCTGTCTGTTTGTTTCGGCTAATCTCAGAAACGGCTGGACCGATTTCGACGAAACTTTCACTAGCCGATAACTGATGTTATAAGGAGTAACTTAGGCCACTTATGTTTTGGAAAAAGCATTAGGATTCCGCGCAATATTTATTTATTTATTTAACAAGTACACTTACAATATACATATATGACATTGTCACAAAAACTTACACACTTTTATATTTTCTGATATGCATATCAATTACAAGTGTGCATAAGATTTACAGATTGAGTCGTGCAACTTAATTTAGAATTAATTTGAGGTAGGAAAAACATACAATCAATGCAATAAAATGAGAAATAATTTAAGTAAATTATGTTACTAAATAGGTAAAAAAATCAAATGAAAAAAAAAAGAAACCATGTTCAATTATTGGGAAAAAAAATGGTAAATATTGTACTCTCTTTAGAAGTATGTACATTTTTAATTTAAGTATAAAATAGATTCTATTAAAAATATAATTTTTAAAAGGAACTAATTAACTAGGCGATAAATCCCTAGTAAGTTTAATTTTGAAGGTCTTAAAAGAGTCGTGAAATATATCGATGCTAGGTATGGTTTTAGTTATTTCGTTTTATTTGCCACATATACGAATATAATTAAAACCCTAAATTACACGCGGGTGAAGTCGCGGTGAACTGCTAGTGATAAATAAAATTATATACCATTGTCAATTTAGCAATTTCATCCAACTTTTTTCTTCAATGTTTAAAAGCCAAACATTTTTTTTTTTATAATTTTGCTTTGAAAATTTGTAGCATAAAGTAATTTTAATATTGGCTACATTAGAATCAAAGTGTTATAATAAAAGAAATTCAATAATGATGATTCCCTCATATCAGCTGTGACCCAAAAAGTTCCAACGACTAAGATCCCTGACAACTAAAACAGTCCACCGCCAGGTAGCTGATTATTTTTAAATCACATAACGGCCAGAACTCAGCGGCCGAACCGGCTGGCGGACTAAACAGTTCTGATGCCGATTTGCTCCCTGCCTATCGCATTGACCGAACTATATATGGAATCGTTGGAACATCTTCTATCCGGTGGAAGGGACTGGGAGAGGGGGGAAAAGTCTGGACGTCGAAGCGGGAACGAAATCTCGGAGTCAGGGTGAGACTGCCGAACGGTACAGTCTCTCTTTCGTGGATCCAACAAACAACACAATGGTAAGTGGATACAGTGAACACAAGTGTACACAAGTGATACAAGTGACGTGTTAAGTGTAAGCGGAGGACGTTGATACAAGTGAAAATTTCCACAATCTCCAAATGTACGAACATCGACGTGTCGGAATATATCATTAAATATTAAATCAGTATTGGTGATAATATATTTAAAAAAAATTAGTTTTGGTAAAAATGTGCAAATAATAAAAAAAAACTAATTAAATAAACTAGAAAACATAATATAACCGTGACGCGAAGCAAGGTACATCATTAACACAAAACAACAATTTTATTAAACTGGTTCAACTATACCTAGACTTATCGATAAAAAAAATTAAAAATGAAGTAGAAAAAAAACTTAAACAAACCTTTTTTATTTATCAACCGACTTCAAAAAAGGAGGAGGTTCTCAACTCGTCGGTATCTTTTTTTTATGTATGTTCACCGATCACTCGAAGACACCCGAACCGATTTGAAAAATTCTTCTTTTGTTTCAAAGCGTATACTTCCCAGGTGGTCTCATTTAAATTTTATCGAAATCGGTTGAGCGGTTTTTAAAAAATCAACAATAAATTTTATTCATATAAACATAGGTCGGTTGTACAAAATTTTAAATTTACTACTTGTTTATTTATTAGATTTCACTGATTTGACAGATGTTTTGCAATGTAATTCGAAATAGCATGCAAATTGACGTGGGTAACACATATAAGTGAAACTTATAATATAATCCAATACAATACAAACAGACTAAAACAAATAAGATCATAAATAAAATAAAGTAACTATCTTTATTTTATTTCTTTAAAAAAATATTTTAATTATATTTAATAAATAGGTCCCTAATGTCATAAAATCGATTTAGGGTTAAGCCAATAATTTTTTTCTAAATAAATTTTTATTATGCGATTTGATGTCATTTGGTAGAAATTATGTTTATTATAAATTAGAACATGGTTAAACTGCTTTTACTATATATATTAATCGCGGTACACGATTTTTTTTTTTCAAATACAATTAATAACATAAAGTTGTAAATGTTTTTATTTAAATAAATTTGTTTTCTGTAAACCAATTATAAGGACATTACAAATAATAAAATCATCTATAACTAAGTTGGCAACATTCGATTAAAATACACCAGTGTACGCTAAAGAAATGAGAGCAGCTAATTCTATTTCTGCATCGCTGTACGTAATGGGCGCCGCCGAAGTGGAAGCTGATATTGTGAGCTAAATTTAAAGGCGTTTGGAGTAACGCCTAAACGGGAGGCACGCGCTGAAATGCAATCACACTGATCGATTATCGAGACAATTAATAAACCTCAAAGTGATGATGATCGATTATTTAGATATTCATAAAAACTCCAAGTATGTTTACTGTAACAATTCCAAAAGAAATTATAATGATAATTTCTGTTTTTTTTTTTTTACTTTTGCATACGCATAAATCAAAATCTTAAGAAATAATTATAATAATAACATTTTAGGCAAAGGTTTTTTTTTTAATATGGTGTAAAAGCAGTTGGCATTTAAATTTTCTAATTCTATAAATCTTACTTCCAATTACTGTTTTTTTTTTTCAATTACTTTTAAAGAGATAATATAACTTGAAACCAGGCCATTAATAAAAAGTACGTAATTAAAAAAAAAATCTAAAACCAAAATTACATTCTTCAAGTCAATGAATGGTTATTGTTTTGTTTTGTTAATAGGGCCTCATTTAATTCTGTTACTAATACTGAATTCAAAATATTTGTAAATCAAACCATAAACTATTAGAGGTTACGTCTGATGGATTTATTTTCAACTTGAAATAAATATTATTTATCTTGAAACACAAAATAAAAGCAATAAAACTAAGAAGTACTTAAGAATGTTAAGATAAAAATAAATCAAATGACGTCAGCGGAATTTTACCTGATAAGTTAAAAAGGTTAAATCGTAATGAATGTCATATCTTGGGCAACATTCTGATGCATTATAGAAAAAGTAAAGTTTATTGGTCCAAGAAGTGGCGAATTTGTTGTGAAGAAAAGTGAAAGAAAATAAAAAAGAAAACAAAAGACAGAAACCAATAGTAAATAGGTTTTTATTACGCGCATTGGCAATACTATTTAGGGCTTGTAATAAGTTAAAAACTGTTCAGATTTCTACTTCGTAAATTAAATTACACAATTAATTTTTAATTTTATCTACAATATTAAAAACTATGATAATAAAAAAAAACTAAAACTAGAAACTTAATTATCATATAGTCCTACTCCCCGCGGTATCGTGCCAAGAACGCTGGCTGCGTTTCCCCGCTGAATGGCTATAATTAATAATTAATTTTGAATTGATTTACAATGGTCAAAAAGGAGAGTATCACATGTTCTTCCTTCGCAGGCGGATAAGGAAAAGAAGATAAAGAAGAAGAAGGCGCCAAAGGAAGAAGCGCCCGCAGAAGAGGCGCCAGCCGCAGCGCCTGCAGCTCCCGCCGCACCCGCTGCTGGTGACCGCCAGTCCTCGCGTGGCAGCCGCAAGGCCAAGCGCACCGGCTCCAATGTCTTCTCTATGTTCTCACAGAAGCAGGTCGCCGAATTCAAAGAGGTAATGATTATTGCGGCTTCTATAATATCCATCTTCTTGATACTCTTCAATTGATTTGTCTGCTTATGACCTCTCTTAGATTTAAAAAATATTGTTTGTGCTTTGAATTTCGAAATCATTTTTCGTAATTTTTTCAAACTTAATCTTTTTTTGGAGCAGACATTACTTAATAGAATATTGAAAATTCCTGTTATTGGAAACGTTGATGGTTTTGGAACATGAATCACAAACATAAATTCAAATGCTGTAAAACAAGCCAATACGCTATGCGTATATCTCAACAATGTAAACCACATTGCTTACGTCAATCAACTCAATATCCACTTCTCGTTGTTTCGTTCTAGTTATATCTATTTAGTAAACATTACACACGTTTCAGTGTTGACATATATCAACTTCTATAAATTAAACAATACATTTTTATTTTGTACGCAGGCCTTCCAGCTTATGGACCACGACAAAGACGGTATCATCGGAAAGAACGACCTCCGCGCCACCTTCGACTCTCTCGGCAGGCTGGCCAGCGAGAAGGAGCTCGATGACATGGTCAACGAGGCTTCTGGCCCCATCAACTTCACCCAACTTCTCACCCTCTTCGCTAACCGCATGTCCGGTGGCTCTGACGAGGACGATGTCGTCATCAACGCCTTCAAGACCTTCGACGAGGAGGGTAAAATCGACTCGGAAAGGTTGAGGCACGCGCTCATGACCTGGGGCGACAAGTTCTCCTCCGACGAGGTTGACGAGGCCTACGACCAGATGGAGATCGACGACAAAGGCTTCATCGACACCCAGAAACTCATCACCATGCTCACCGCCAGTGCTGAAGAAGAGGAGGGCGGCGAGGCCGCGTAGATAATTCCATCAAAATTGAAACACCTAAGCCAGGAGCTGCAAGCAGTCACACCCGGTCCATTCGGTTCCGACAGAACGGATTAAATTTAAAGTGAACCGAAATATGTTTTATTTTAATTTAAATTATCTATGTAATTTATTGTTTCCATTTTTTTATTTATATATAATGAAAATATAGTTATACTATACCAACATGGTGTAATAATATCCCCATAGTAATCTGGAAATAAAAGTATCAAAACATTACGCCTGAATATAATAGCATTAAACATAGGTACAAACATAACGCATAGGCATACCTGTGTGTGACATCAACATCTTCAGCAGGACAAAAAAGTTATAAATTATATACGTATTATCTCAAATAATGAATAAAAGGAATCATCATCATTACAGTCCTTCACAAGTCCACTGCTGAACATAGGCCTCCCCCAAGGAATGTCACAAAGCTCGGTCCTGAGCCACATGCATCCATCGACTTCCTGCATATCTTACCAGGTCGTCACTCCATCTAGTGGGGGGACGCTCTACACTTCGTCCGCTGGTACGAGGCCGCCACTCGAGAAACTTTTTTCCCCATCGGCTGTCGGTTCTTCGAGCTATATGGCCGGCTCATTGCCACTTCAGCTTACTAATCCTTTGGGCTATGTCGCTCACTCTGGTTCTACTGCGAATATCCTCATTTCTAAGTTTATCACGCAGAGAAACTCCGAGCATAGCCCTCTCCATAGCTCGCTGAGCGACCTTGAGCTTCCTCATCCGGCCAGCAGTGAAGGACCACGTCACACACGCACTGGTTGTACAGTCTTGTTTTCAAGTTTTGATGTATACCTGACGAGAAGATGTGCCGTAATTTCCCGAACGCTATACAACCGAATTGAATCCGTCGATTGACCTCTCGGTCGAAGTTAGACTTACCTAGTCGGACTATTTGTCCCAGGTAAACATACTCATCAACAACTTCGAGCTTAGTGCTAAAATAAAGGAATACACAATTTTATTTGCTGTGTTTCATCTGACGATACTCTTAACGTTATCGTTACGTATTATTAAGTTATAGGTTATTACATAAAAACAATAATAAATATTAATACAACTACATACACTCTTTTGCAAAGAAGTATTACCTCCGTTATTTTATGACTTCTTTTCATGACATGTAACGGATCCTTTATTTGAAAATTCAAATTTTAACTTCTGCAAAGTTTTAAGTCTAATTCTAGCTTTTTAAAAACTAAAAGGATGCTTTGTGCCTGTATGTGAGTGCGGGTGTGTGCGGACGTAAGTATGTAAAAAGAGACTGATGATATAGTCTCCAAGCCAAGCGTACCTACTAGATTAAAATCAATGCCACAATTAGCAACCAAATGATATATTTGATCGCGGGAGCAGATGGAATCACACCCACATTAATTTTTTTTAGATTAGGGTGACAAATGAACACACAGTCCAACTGATGGTAAGTGTGTGCTGCAGCCCATACACAAATGCAAATGTGTTGTCTCCTCTAAAGACTTAGATGGAATGCCTCGTTTCCAGTAAAATGGGCCTCCGGTTCTCTATACGCACCATGCAAAACACAACAGCATTTAGCTGCTATTTTATGCTGATATTCCGTAAGACCGTGGCCTTTCCCGGTCGAGCCAACTCATTCGTGCTGTCACCATAATATAGCTGCAGCATGGATCTACCACGTCATAATGATTACGTAATATTAAAAAATGTGCCGTGTGGTGATTACGTAGGAAAATCCACCAACCAATTTCGCCACGAGATTGCCGTAAGGGGAGACAACGGGAAATGGCAATGACAAACGAGCACACAGTCCACCTGATGGTAAATGGTTGCTGTGGCCCATAGACATCTACATCTATGAAATGTAGATGCGTTGCCAGCCGTGAGGACTTAGAAGGAATGCCTCTTTTCCAGTAAAATAGGTCTCCGGTTCTAGCACTCACCATACGAAACACAGCAGCATTGAACTGCTATTTTACACTGGTATTCTGTGAGAGCGTGGTCCTTCCCCGGTCGAGTCGACCCATTCGTGTTACAACTATACTATTAATATAGCTGTAGCATGGCTCTTCCACGTATGTGGAGGTAACGTTTAAAATTAACATAACCTTTTTCCGCAGTAACTTTTACAGGGTAATGGATAGGAAAAGAATATAATAAATAACAACCGCGTGATCTCGTGGTCATATGCACACCAACTGCTGCGACGTGGACCCTGGTTTTGTATTTTTTTTTATAGGAACAGGGTGACAAACGAACACACAGTCCACCTGATAGTAAGTGGATGCTGTAGTCCATAGACATCTACATCTATCCTCGATTAAGAACCAATCCGCAGACGTGTTGTTACCCCTTAAGACTAAAAGGGAATGCCTCGTTTCCAATAAAAAGGGTCTCCAGTCCTCTACTCGCACCATACGAAACACAGCAGCAATATACTGCTATTTTACGCTGGTATTCTGAACGGAAGGAAGATGGCGTAGAATATATATTTTTTTAATTAAACTGTAAGTCAATTAATTGCTCCTTAAATGCTCCCTTAGAATCCGTAATTGCTCCACGTCTATTGCTATTACTTGTTTTATAATTTTTTTTTTTATTAATTAATTATGCTATAAACCATAAAATATCTACTATTTTAAATTAAACTGTCTGCCAACTAAACTAAACAGCTAATAGTTTTTTTTATTTATTTATTTATTTGCTTTTTAAGGGAAACATACAGTACAATAATAAATTACATAATAAAACATATAAAAGTAATCCTAAGAACCAATGAAGTTTCCACAGATATCTAATACATAATAAAAGCTTGCCACCACAATATTATGTTGTATAAAATTAAAATATAAAAGAATAAAACTAGCTAAATGGTATTCATAAATTAAAACATTAAGTAGTTGTGGAATAATAACGGTTTCTAAGAGAGCATGTAAGGAGCAATTAATTGCTGTACAGTTTAATTTGTGTGAACTTAAATATAATTATTTACTATGCTTTAAAAATAATTCCATAAACTAATTCGTAAAAATATTGTGGTGGCACGGAGAAATGTTACTAACGAGAACCTACTTTACAATTTTTTTCTACCGCGAATATTACATGTTATCGTGTTTTCCTTATATGCAATTCAAGATAATATAGTAAAAAAATATATACAAATTTGTTTCGTAATCTATAAAACTTAAAGAAGTATGTGAAAAAGAAAAACCACCAAATTTCCGAGGTATCACCAATGGCTATGGAAAATTTCTTAGGTTTCGGTAGGGTTTGAACTCAATTCGCTCACGTACTATAGACTTTAAGACGTGTGCTGGTACCCTGAGTTTCATCAGCTCAAATATGAAGATACATCTGCGAGTTTATAGTATATCACTCAAGATGTAGTCAAAAGTGACTTTTAGCACTTACGTGGAACATGTTTTATTGTAGAATAAATCTACTAAAATCACAAGTCAAAGAAAATTTATTTAGTGTTATTATCATTCATCCATTACAGCTCTAAAAAGTTCACAGCTGAACATCAAGGACGGACCCAGGATTTATTTCTGGGAGGGGCACATGGGCCATTATTCTAGTATTTCTCACAGTGTTGTACTATGCTGTTTTTGGGATCAATTCTTCGTCAATGAAATACACGAATAACTATAAAAATACTTGTGATAAAAATTAAATAATGACAAATTACATGGTTACTAGAGATAGCTTTTTATGTTTTCTGCTGAAGATATCAAGTACTTCTTCAGCATTCATCTTCGTAGCAATCTCTTTCTTCTCTTTCTTTATGAATCTGCATTAAGCCCAGTCCACTTAGACAATTTTCTCTCATACTGCTGTGAAGATATGTCTTGTCAAAAAATTGCTCGGCAGTGCTGGTTGTCACATAAAACGTGTACAATAATTGGCACAAAGTTCTTATATTTGGCAGAAGTGTTGCTCTTTTATAGGCATTTGCTGCTGTTCTGAGGATATTATCTCTCATCTGTTGCCAAATGTGTAACACGCCCTTCGAAGCTAAAAAATAAAGTATCTAATCCTTGTGTACTTCAGCACCCTGCAAAACATCTTCTATATCTTCATCGATTAAGTTATGGGATAGCAACTTTTGCAGCTCCCCTACTATTTGCAGCTGAGCTCTGGGAAACCTAAAGGAATTTTCATAAATCTATACAAATAAATAAAATTGAAGTGTCTGTTTGTAATGTCAAAATAACAGCTTTTTACTGATTGCATATGAAAGTATAAACGGTAATTATAACAAAAACACAATCTTTCACATTTTTGTCAGTCTGTCTGTCTATCTGTCTGTCTGTTTGTTCCGGCTAATATCCAAAACGGCTGGACTGATTTTGACGGAACTTTCACCGGTAGATAGCTCATGTTATATGGAGTAACTTAGGCTACTTATATATTACACGCGGGCGTAGTCGCGGGGAACCGCTAGTAAATAATAAAGAGGAGGAATATACACTGAGATTGGGTAATATTCTTCAACACAACAACTTTGGTATACAATAACGAATCAAAAGCCGACTGTGGAAGCTGATGACAATCAATCCACGACTGAATTATCAGTAGCTTACGACGTTAGCATCAAAAGAATTTGACTCAAATTAGCAAGGTATAAAAGTTTAACAAATGGGTGCCGCACGAACTCAAGGATCGCCAGCGCGAATTACACGTCGAGACGTGCTTTGCACTACTCAACTGGCATGCAAACGAGGAAATTTTGAACTGCATTGTTACCTGCGACGAAAAATGGATTCTTTTTGACATTTGCAGGTGCTCAGCAAGCTCGGTTAGTTGGATCCTGGATCTGCACTTATACAATGCCCTAAGCGAAAACTTACCTCTACAATAGTGATAGTCACCTGTTTGGTGGTCTACCGCCGGTGTGATTCATCACAGCCACCAAACGGGATAAACATAACTGCAGACGTGTACTGTGAAGAACTGAACACAATGATGGAGAAGCTAGCACGTCT